GAGTTACCAAACTGTTCTTAGGTTTGTATTTCTTCCAATCTGAATCTAATTATGTATCATCTTAGGAATCAAATGTTCTTTAATTATGCCTTGCTTAGCTCTGTAGAGAATTCTATTTTTTTTAATGGGAAAATGGAAAACAGCATGTGCTAAAATAGCATCAGAGGTGGTGCTGGGAAGATCCTGGGCTTGGGAGTCAAGGGATTTGGGTTCCTATCCCAGCTCTGCCATCGCTGCTGCCTTTGGGACCTGTTGGGGTATGGATGAGGATTGGCTCTCCCTGCCTGCGAATTGAGGGGGGTGGAGCCTCAATTGGGAAGTGGGCCACTGGAAGCTGGGAAGACAGGCTGGCTTGGTAACTAGGGATAGATGGGGTGCTGCAGATCCCTGGGCCTGAGAAAAGAAGGCCAACCAGTTGCTGGAGCAGATAACACAAGCTTAGGAAGAATCCGAGCTGAATGAGAAGGCAAAATCTAGTGACTGCTGGGGAGATGAGCATTCCTGTAGCTTCACCGGGCTTCCTGGAACCTTATTCTTTTCTTTTTTTTTTGAAAACTTCCAAAGTTTATTTATTCACCCAATATTAACTTAACAAAGTGTCATTAACATTTGCCTCAAGAGCATGAAGACCTAGAATCTCTATTCCTACTAAAACAACAGGGCAGGGCATGCCCTTGTCTCAAGGTAGAACCTAGACCTGTGCCTCTAACCTAAGCCAGACTTAGTTAGTAGTAAGTAAGTAGGTCAAGACTGCAAACAAGGCCTCATCCCAGTCACCTTCTTGGGATGAGGGCAGACACCTCATATTGATTTGGGTGGCACCAGACTGACCTCCAACAGAAATCCTGAAAAGAGGAAACTTCTCAGCTGATGGATCATCCTATGTGAGGGACTTTTTAGGGTTATGGGAATGGCTTGAGGCTCCATGGGAATCTTATTCTTTTCAAAACAGCTGTTCTGGTTCTTTCCCCAGGGTCAGTGTGCAGGACCCTGCAGGTTAGCGGGCAGGACCCACTAATTCTTCTCCTCACGTGATTGCACTTATGTATGGGTTTGTACACAACAACTTACTTCCTGTATGACCTTGGGAAACTTTTCCCCCCCATTCTGGGCCTCCATTTCCTCTTTTGTCAAATAAGACCCTTTCACTAAATGATCTTAAGCTTTTCTCACTCCAAAATCCTTCAGACACACCCCTGCAAGAAGAAGGGACAAAGGCTAGCAGAGCACCTGAGGTTGTTTCCCTGGTGGCAAGAAGAAGCTTGGGGCCTCTGCCAGGAGGGATCCAGTGATCCCAGGGGGACAAGAAACCATGTCTGTTGTCATCTTCATCCTGGCCTCTTGGCTGGGTTGAGGAGAATATCTGAAGGAAGATTTTTGGCCAGGCTGCCTATGACCCAGCCTTTGAAAACATTGCAAAACGAACAGCTGGAAATAAGTGTGTCTTGTTGTGATGATTAGATTGAGCAAGAGGAAGCTGGGGAGTTAAGGTCCCTTGATGACATTCATTAAAAACAGTCCCAGGATCAGTCTGGTGGTCTGACCAGTGAATGGGGGCAGGGCTTTCACGTTAGACTTTGCCTCTAGGAGTGTTTTATGAGATGAGATGAAATGTCAGCTTGTTTTGTCTCAGGGTAAATTTTGAGGAGCCGGCTAGGTAAACAGCTGTGCTTTTCCTGCACCCTCCCTCTCACTCTGCTGGAAGCAGAGCCGCTTTTCCTGAAGTGGCCTTTGAAAAGAAACGGTACCAGTTGGAGGAGAAGAAGACTGGGTATTTTATATATATATTTTAAAATCCACTCTTTGACATGTCTTTTTAAAAAAAAATCCATTTGTCGGCATCAGTTTGTAAATTCAAAGAATTTAACAGTAGAAATTGTGATCATCCATCCAATTCAATTCAAATGATCTTTAGTAAGCACCTACTATGTGCCAGGCACTGTTACTAGGGAGATACAGACAGAAACAAAGCAGTCCCTGTCCTCAGGGAGCTTATATTTTATCTTTATAAAAGGGGGGAGGGTGTTTGTCTATATCAGGGATTGGCTTATGAGCCATAGTTGGCTGACCCCTGGTTTAGATTATTGTCAAGGTCCCTTCCAGTTTTAATGTTCTCAATGCTCAGAATCCAGTGGATCTGTTGTAGCTTTATGTTGTCTCATTTTTTTCAAGGTAGGTCAGTTAACTCAAACTTCATAGGGTAGGTTCTCATGATACAAACACTCAGTGCATCTATCTGTTTCCATTCACTTCCTATTCTGATGCCTCAGTATAGAATGGAGTAGTTGCTTTTTGATTGATTGGTAGTCTAGAGGTGAGTCTGGACCTTCAAAGGCTGGACCACACACTCTGCCAGGGCCTAGCAGGGTGGAAGGGCCCCAAGTATGCTCATCACCAAAAGACCAGTGACCAGCTGCTAAATTTCTTTGGCCATAACAGCTCTTGAAATGGTCTAGTCTAAGGTGAAGGAAATTGTTGAAATCTGTGTTGCTGGATGGAGTGGTCACCCTGATAAAATCATGGATCCAGGGGGCAGCTAGGTGGCACAGTGGATACAGCACTGGCCCTGGAGTCAGGAAGACCTGAGTTCAACTCCGGCCTCAGATACAAAACACATACCAGCTGTGTGACCCTGGGCAAGTCACTTAACCCCCATTGCAAAAAAAAAAAAAATCATGGATCTAGGCCAATTGTAGGAAGTCTGCTATAGGTAGCATTTGCCTCAGTTCCTATTAAACCCAGTAGTGGTATTAAAGAAGTGATTCTTCCTTTTCTGTCCTCATAGCATTTTGGATTTCTCAACTGATCCTCAAGCCTTTGAACTGTTGTTTTGTTTTGTTTGGTTTGGTTTTGGTCTGGATCTGTGATTTTTTTTTTAATTTTTAGGCAATTGGGGTTAAGTGACTTGCCCAGGGTCACACAGCTAATAAGTGTCAAGTGTTTGGTCTGAGGCTGGATTTGAACTCAGGTCCTCCTGACTTCAGGGCCGGTGCTGTGTCCACTGCGCCACCTAGCTGCCCCTGGATCTGTGATTTTAATGTTGTGAATTCCAATCATGGAAATTCCCTTCATTGATTCAGATGGGCAACTTGTTTATACCTTCTAGTTTTAGACTGTTGCTTGGGGCACTAGTATGCATCAGAGACATGACTTGAACCCAGGGCTGCCTCTCACAAATGCTCTTTTTGTATTTACATCCTAATTTATTTATTTATCTATGTATATGTCACAGTCCCCTCCTCCACTAGATGGTAAGTTCCTTGAAGGCAGAGACCTTGTCTTACATGTCTGTCTCTCCCCACAGCACTAGCATAGTGTTAGGCACACAATAGATGGATAATAAATATTTGTTGAATGAATAATTTGACTAATGGTCTCACCATCTTCTGAATGTTCTAGCACTATTCTTTCGAATACTGTCTAATCATATCTCTTGGCTTCTTTGTGGGGGGGGGGGGGGATTAGGATTTGGACCTCCCAGCATAGGGAGTTCCTTCCACAGAAGCAGACTGAAGAGTTGCCTACTGTGCTGAGAGGTGATGTGATTTGTCTGTGGTCATATAGCTTGTCTGGGTGGAAGGCAGGATTTAAATCTGTCGCCACACTAGGCTGCATCTCATTGTTCCCTCATCTTATTATTGAATGTTTATATCTTGTCTGTCCATCTAGATTGTAAGCTCCTTGAGAGCAAGGTACTCTGGTGGTATGCTTCCTTTATGCTCTCCAGTACCTTGGACAGCACCTTATGCATAGTAGGCATTCAATAATAATGCCCCTATAATTTAATACTGTAATCTTCTTTCTGCCGTTATCACATTATCAAATGACAACAAAAAAGTAGTCTCTGTCAGTCACTTGTAGACATTTGTCTCCTGGCATTTGGTCTTTTTTAGGACTTATGAAGGTGTTCATTGTGAAAACATAATGGCACAATTATAAAATGAGGTCACCCCACCCCCTCCCCCAGGCCTGGCCTGGTCAGTGGTTGGTTGGCATTTGTTTTCATTAAAGTAGCTCTGGATTTGTCATCTGCAGCAGCATTGGGGGCAAGGTTTTGTTCTTCCCTTGGCATTCTGAATGCTCACACTGGTTTTTTTCTAAAGCAGAAGCTTTGTCAGTCATCCCCGAGCAATGTGAGTTTCCATTCTTTCAAAGAAACTTGACCCTTGGCATGACAGACGAGAAGCTTAGCGTAGCTTGCTGGAAAACAGCTGTTCCCTCCAGGCAGCAATTGTTCCCTTGCTCTGCCCTGTGCTGGGGCGCAGGAGAAAGGTACCTTAAATCTTAGACTTCTGACACGTGGCCAGAAGTGGCTTAGTGTTCTCTGGGTTGGGGCTAGTCGGGGAGGGGGGCTTCAAAAAGATTGACTTACATTCCTGGGCGCCTCCTCCATCTACTTGCAAATTGCATCCATGTCCGAAAGAGGATGGCAAGAATCCCAAAGCCTTTTTTTTTCCTGTAGGAGATACACATTTCATTTGTTAGAGAATCTGTGTAATTTTCACCCCGAATTGTGCTCGGAGTGTATGGTTTTCAGTCACATCTGTTCAGTGCAGTCCCTTCAGTTTAAGCCCCACGAGGGAATGAGAAGATTAGCATCACATGATGCCCGCTTGGCAGGCCACAGCACCCTAAACATGTGGCTGCATGCGTAAGAGCTGGGCAAGGATCGTTTATATTGAAAATATTCTGTATTGTAAATAAACTGAGCAGTCTGGCTGCCTCATCAAGTATTAGGTCTCTTCCTTAATTCATGGTTGTCAGCTGTGTGAGGGGCTCATAAAAAGCTTTGGGGGCCTGCTTTCAAGGCCCTCAGGAAGCAGACGTGAGAAGGGAAGCAGGCTCTCTGCTGGGACAGTGGCTATGTTAGCTCCACCCTCTTCATTCCAGTTCTTTAAATCCACACTCACTTGGCCTGAAATCAACATGTCTAAAGTCATGTCTGTCTGTTCATCAGTAATATTTTCTTTTTGGTGGGGGGATTAACCTTTATGTTCTAGATTAAGAAGAAACAGCAAGATGTCTTGGGCTTCTTGGAAGCAAACAAGATAGGATTTGAAGAGAAAGATATCGCAGCCAATGAAGAGAATCGGAAATGGATGCGTGAAAATGTACCTGAAGAAAGTCGTCCAGCCACGGGGAACCCGCTTCCCCCTCAGATCTTCAATGAGTGCCAGTACCGTGGGGTAAGGACAATTCGGGAATTCGGCCCGTTTTCCAGCTCGTGCTTTACCTCTGTACCCTCTTTAACGGCTTTCTCAGAAGGCCAGAGTCTTCTTTGGCCTGTCTGCCATCAGCCACATGAATCCCCCACAGGAGATGGAGTGCCATTAGACAGGGATTTGATCTCCGATTTCCTTTACTAGCCTTCATCCTGATTTCTTCCAGTCCGAACATCTAGGTGTTTTATTTCTGGTATGTCTATAGCAGAAGCCCCTGGAAAGGAGTCTGCTCCTCTCATTACTTGACTTTAAGTAGGTAAAAAAAACCAAAAACCCTTCCATCTTGTTCTTCCTCACAGTCCACAGTTGTTTTCACGGAAAGAAGATCTAGTTTGAAAATCTAGTTTGTCTTTGAATCAGCCATAGGGTTTCCACATCCCCGTACATACTGGTTGTGATGGAGCGCCCCACAACACTCAGGTTTGATGTGTGAGACATTGAGTCCTTTTTCCTTCAAATCAACAGTCTAGTAACCCCGTCCAAAAAGGAAACAAGGGTAGTCTAGCCTGACCTGCTCTTGCGGAAGCCATGCTAACAGCTTGTGATCTCTGATAGTTAAACTACTTTGAAGCAAGGCCTTGATAGAAGGATCTGGGGGAGGCGATTTTCAAACAGTGTTCCAGGAGCCCCTGGGGCTCCACTTCTTGGTAGGAGAGTCTGGTTGGGGCAGCCATGTTTAATGGAGGTCAGCTCCAGCAGCCCTGTCATTGCCACCAGCAGGTTTAGCAGCCTCCAGAGATCTGGGTTTTAATCCCAGCTAGCCATTAGGCAGGTTCACTTTGGTCAGTAACCTTTGCTCTCATCTGTTCATCTTCCCCTATCGTCTTGCGGAGTTCTCTGCATAATGCACATGAGCCTGAGTCATCCCATGTGGCACTCTTGTTTTGACTGATTTTTTTTATTGGGGGCTTAGAATGTCTTGCTCAATTCAGTTCAACAAATATTTACTTGCTCCTGTGACATCATAAAGAATTGAAAGGGCTGTTGGAAGTTAGAACACTCTCCCTGCCCCCATTCATTCATTTATTCATTCATTCATTCCTTAGTGTTTGCATTTGTTCAGACATACCTTCATTCCAGAAGGGGATTGTTGAACACTTGCTATGTACCTGACACCATGCTGAGCCCCAGCAGGTAGAGATAAGAGGAGGTTGAAAACACCGGTCCTGCCCTTGAGGTGCTTACAGTCTAATTGGAGAGACAAAATGGACATCCAAGTCTACAGGTGCTTATTAAGCACCTAAAATAATTCTAAAGCGGCCGAATGTCATTCAGTTCAACAGCTGTTTGTTAAATGGCCCCTCTGTGCAGAGAAATCCCAGGTAAGCACCATTGGCCTTGAGACAAAGGGAGACCTGGCTAGCTCCCTCCCTGGCTCGCTCCGGTTCCTGTGCCCAGATGGATGTTTTCACATCCATTAACCTCCCCCTTCTTTGCCACTGGTCTTTATTGAGGAGGGCAGGAGAGGGCAGTTTTTGTTCTTCCCCTTGCCAATCTGCAGCAGCAGCCACAGCCGGGGGAGAAGTGCCAGGAAAGAACCCGAGCCCAAGCTGGCACGACCAGCTTTTTTCCACAAGAGAGTCTGTCAGTTATTAGGAAAGGCCTGGGGATCTCATCTGTCTTGTGCTGGTGCAATCCAAGGCTCACCAGCTTCGTTTTCAGGTAGGAAAAACAAAAAGATTTGTTTTCTTTGAGAAAACCTCAATTCTTTCATGTCTCAAGTGCTACTGAAGCTTAGAATTGGAAGGCATCTTTCAAATTTCCCTAGATTTGTGGCCCTGAGCATCCAGCATGTGACAAAGGGGTCTTAGCCTGATCCTCAGACTGTAGCAGGAGCCCCTGACCAGGGTTTGATCCCGTTCTGAACTAGCAGGAAAGCTGCCTGTCTTCACTGTTGTTACTGGAGGCCAAGGTGGTGTGTGTTTGCTGCTTTGGAGACAGTCAACAAAAAATGACTTCTGGGCCAAGTCTGGAGAAGACTTTTTTTTTTTTCAACAGTAGAGGTTCAAGGTTACTCTCAAGTCAGGTATTATGGGTAGAAGAGGGATTAGACTTAGTCTATTAGGCCTCAAAGGGTCAGAGTTGCAAAGGGACAAATTAAGCCCTGATGTAAGGGAGCACTTCCTCATCATTTGAGCTATCCCAGAGTACAAGAGGCTGCTTGGGGAGGTAAGGTGATGGGCCCCCCCTGCCCCCACTGGAGGTCTTCAAGCAGGGCCTAGATGCCGACTTGCAGATTCCTTTTTGGGTATGGGTTCGATTAGCTGTCCCCCCCTGTAAAATTCCACGATTTGTCTTGAACTGTTTATGGGCCACTGATGTCAGGAGTCAGCTAGCTTCACATCTGGAGGTGTCACTACCTCCCTCCCTCAAAGGCTAGATGGCGTTGATGGCAGTTGGGGGTGCCTTTGATGAAATACATTGCTTATAAATGAATGCCTTGATTTCTGGAGAAAACTTTGAATGTGGCAAAAGCGAGCCCCTCCTTGCTGAAAGGAGCCAAGAATAAGAGAGTAATGACTGCTTGGGCTTCTTGTTGGGTGAGGCACCTCTAGCCCCAGGGGGGCCCTAAACATTGGCTGTATTATGTGTGTGGGGATCCTCGGTCCTCCTTGGCAAGCTGTGAGGGAGGTCATCTTGGAGACGAAAACCTGTCAGGACTGCTTCTTTACTACTAATAAGTCAGGCAGAACAGCAGGCTTACTTTGCTGCAGTTTTTCATATTCCAGGGAAGATCTGAAAATGCCACTTGTTTACTAGGTTGGCTCAGTTTGGGTTGTGTCCTACGGCCTTGTTTGAGTGACTATTTCAGTCACTTAGGAGAAGGTCTGTGGGCTTGGCAGGATAACAATGATTGTAACCACACCTCCAGCCACCCTCAGTCTTCCAGGCCCTGGTTTAGCCTGGCTTCTGACTTCTCAAAAATCTGATTGCTGTTGCTCAGGTCCCCAGATGCCCCTCACAGGGATCTAAAGTCAGTACCCACTCTCTCCATCCTTTGCCTAAGGACCTCCCCAGAAGCTCAAACTAGCTGGGCTTCTGGTGAACATTTCTTCTCTGATTGATGATAGGAGAGAAGTAGACTAGGGGAAGACCACTTCTAAGCAGAAGGAAGAGGGAACTGCTGTTCACAGAGATATTGTAGGGTTCCGCCAAGATGCAACTGTCCAAAATGGCTTGAAATTAAACATGGGGGGCAGTTAGGTGGTGCGGTAGATAGAGCTCCTGCCTTGGAGTCAGGAGGACCTGAGTTCAAATCTGGCCTCAGACACTTGACACTTATAGCTGTGTGACCCTGGGCAAGTCACTTAACCCCAAATGCCTCACCAAAAAGCAAAAAAAAAAAAAAAAAAAATTAGACATGGGCTGGAGGAAGGCATTCACAAGTTGCTTTGCCTCCAAAGCCCCCAGGACTGCTGTAGGCCCAAGCTTTGCCCTTTGCTTAGCACCGTGGCATCGAGATCACTCTGCGGCAAGGACAAAGTATCATGGGACCACCAAAATCAGCCCGTTCCTGCTGTTTCCTTCATGGTCCTCAACTCCTAATTCTGTCTGCTCTCTTCTTCACTTAGGATTATGATGCCTTCTTTGAAGCCAGAGAAAATAATGCAGTGTATGCCTTTTTGGGCTTGACAGCCCCACCTGGGTCAAAGGTAGGCTCTCTTTCTGAGTCCTAGTTGACAGATGATGATTTCTGATGTTGTATAACAGTCCTACTGAGAGACCATCCCAAACTCGCAATCCTGACTCCTCCCAAATGCAAGGCAATCCTGGCAATCCTGTCCACCCTGACTAGACAGCCAAACGTGACCCATCACATCCCAGGCGAAGAGAGGTGACAGTGAGACTTGTCCACCAAGCTCCTGAAGGCAGCCAGCTTCCCATTGGCCAGCTGACAAAGAATGTTAAAGATTCCATTATTAGAGCTGTTGTGTCCCTTCCTCAATCACAACGTGTGTCCCAGGCCGTGGTCATTTTCTTGGCAGCATGTGAAGAGAAATGCTACACATGGATACATTGGCGAGCCTGACAAGTGAGCCCTGGGGTTCAAAATCTGGCCAGTGAACTGCTGGCTGAAGTTGGGACCTTTTACTTGCCAAAGGCAGATTCCTTTTCAAATGTGTCATCCCAGGAGAGCCCGAATCAAAGAGACAAAGCCAAAAACAAAGACCACAATGAATGGCCCCTTGACGATATCTCCATATTTCCCTGCTAGGCAGTGCAGCTGATGGGGAACTCTGCCTTCAGTGTGGAGAGGCGGGCTTGACATGCTTACTGCTTTCACTGGAGACCATAGGGTGCTGATCTGAGTCACCCTACCAAGTCTACTCCTTGCCAAACTGGCTTTTCCCATGGACGAAATGTCCTATTTTAAGCTCTGTCTAATTTAAGTCTTCAGAGACTTTGCTGTGTAAATGTATTAGTGATACTCAAGCCAAGGGGCATCAATGGATAGCTTTTTAGTGAATTGTAGGTCAGGGGTTGTGTGTGTGTGTGTGTGTGTATGTGTATGTGTATGTGTTGGACAGCACCGCTAAGAGGCTCAAGTGTGACAGACTTTAAAGTGCTATCAAAATGTCAGTCGTTATCATCATTGCAACTACTGCTGCTGCTGCTACTACTACTACTGCCACTGCTGCTCTGTTATTCAGATCTGTGATTTCAAATTAGGTCACTAATTATAGGTGACATTTATATAGTGCTTGAAGTCCTACGAAGTGCTTTACAAACATTATCTCGTTTGAGTTTTTGTAACAGTCCTGTCTCCGTTTGACAGATGAGTGACCAGGCTCAGAGAGGTTAAGTGACTTGCACCAGTTCACAGAGGCATCATGGGGTGGAGCCAGGATTAGAACCCAGCTCACTTGACTCCAAATGTGGCACTCCTTCTCCTGTACCAGGAGACCACAGAGGCGTTCATAGCTATGAGGCTTTGGATATCCAAGGGGCTTCTCAGGCCCCTTTGAGCTCTCTAATATCCTGTGATTTGAGGATTTCTCTCATCTATATTGCTTCCAGAAAGCTAGTTCCTCAGATGCATTTGTTATTTCTCATAAGTAAAATGATATACTCTAGAATTGGAAAGGACCTTAGGAATCATCTCCCTCATTTTACAGAGGAGGAGACTGAGGACCAGAGCAGTCAGTCAAGTCAACAAGCATTTATTATGTGTGTGCTGTGTGCCAGGCACTGTGCCAAGCACTGGGGATGCAAAGAAAGGCAAAAACACAGAACCTGGCCTCCAGCAGCTCACGTTCTGAAGGGGAAGAAGACGACAGGCAAACAACACATATGTAGAACATACAGAGGGGCTGCGAGGTCATCTCAGAGGGGGAGCCGGCCAAAGGCCTCCTGCAGAAGGGAAGGAAACGAGGAGGCAGAGGTGACGAGACAAAACCTGCTAGCCATGGCGGGCTAGCCAGTGCCAGGCGTGCAGATGGGGGATGAGCTGCGACAGATCGAGGATTCCAACTGGGGCCTTCTGATTCAAGATCAAATGCTCTGTACCCTAAGGGGCAGCTAGGTGACACAAGGGACAGAGTGCTAGGTTTGGTGTCGAGAAAAGCTGAGTTCAAATTTGGCCTCGGATACTTATTAGCTGTGTGACCCTGGGTAAGTCACTTAACCTCTGTTTGTCTAATTTTCTTCAACCATAAAGTGAGCATAATAATAGCACTTATCCCCAGGGTTGTTGTGAGGATCAAATGAAGTAATATTTGTAAAAAGAGCTTAGCACAGTGACTGACATGTAGTAGGCACTTCATAAATGCTTATTTTCTTCCTTCCTTTCTCTTTCCCTCCCTCATTTCCTTCCCTCTCTCCCTCCCTCCTTCCTCCCTCCCTCCCTCCTTTCACTTCCTTCCTTCCTTCCTTCCTTCCTCACAGCTGACTCACTTTAGGGCCCCTTTGTTTTACTGTTTGACTGGTACAGTAACTACGTATGCCTGGACTTTGAGGAGCCTTAATCGGTTATAGAACCCATCGTGTTCTATGAAGAAATTTCTGGAAGGCTGTTCTATAAAAAGACAAGTAAATTTTGAACAAGCTTCATGGCATGTGGCCAAGCTGGGGGCACTTTGATGGCCCAGCCCCCATTGGAGGGGACTTTCTTGAGGCCCATGACGGATTCCAGTCTAGTTTTTCTTGCAGACTCCGTGTCATCTTTGCTTAGGAACATGGGCTTAAGAGCTAAAAGGCAGCTCCTAGATGATGTCTCCATCCTTGCTCCCAGATAAATAAGCACACAGTAGGTACACGGTAATTTGTGGGAAAGGGAGTGACGTGAAGTAAACTTGGAGACCAAGATGGGAGGCCGGTGCTTGAAGTGGCTAGCAGAGGAGCTTGTTCAAGGCAGTGATGGCTCCTGGAGATTGGTGAGTAGGGAGCATCGTGGTCAGCTGGGGCTCCAGCAAGCTTATTTTGGGAAAGGGTAAAGCTCAGAAGCCAGCTCCGAGGTGATTGCAACAGTTGGTCAAGAGGTAATCAAGGCCTGGACAAGGGGAGTGGTCATGTGATCTCTAAGCAACCGTGCCCCAAGCCATTCCTTCAGCTTGATAGGACTTAAAAACAGCAGCATTGAAAAAAGAGCACTTTTCTCAATATGGTACAACTTCATTTTAACCAAAAAACAACTAACCAGAATGATCAGATAACTAGATGTGGGGGGGGGGGGGGGGGGAGGAGGGGTCGGAGCAGAAAACGTTGATTGTAGGAATTTATTCAAGAAAAGCTACTTCTGGTGTTGGTCTGTAAGTCACCAAGTGTTTAAGCAGTACCTACTAGATTCTGGGTTGAATGAGGATACAAAGGAAAGACACAAATGGTCTCTGCCCTCACAGAGCTCCACTGTAATGAAGGAAATGACTTGGCAATAACTAGATACCTACAAGATACACATGAGATAAATACAGCATAAGTGGAAGGTGATCTCAACAGGAAGACACTATGGGGGGTGGGGAGGGGAGAAGGAAAGACTTCCTCTACAAGGGGGGATTTGAACTGAGACTTGAAGGATTTCGGGGAAACTAAGAGGCTGAGGTGAGGGACCAGAGCCCTGCAGGCATGGAGGGCAGCCAGTGCAAAGGCATGGAGGTAGGAAACGAAGGGTCATGTTCAGGGACTTGCAAGCAAACCAGTATAGCTGGATCATAGAATGTGTAAAGGGGAGTAAAATATAAGATCCATGTCGTAAAGAGCTTTAAATACCAAACAGGGGAGTTTTTAATCTGGTCTAGAGGTAGGTAATAGGGAGCCACTAGAGTTTGTTAAGGAGAGAGATGAAGATGACATGGTCAGACCTAAGCTTTAAGAAAATGGCCTTGGCAGCTGTACGTGCAGTACGGAGAGACTTAAGGCAGGGAGGCTGACTAGAAGCCCATTGCAGTAATGTGGGAGCAGGTGATGAGGATCTGGAATAGGGGTGGGCATGGGTGAGTGGAGAGAGAGGGATACCATGGGGAAGAGTGTTTAACAACCAGGAAAACCAAAGAAAACAAAACCTGGACACAGGACACACTTTTAAGTTGAATTTGCCATACGAACATTTTAGCTTGGCCGTGTGCAGATCCAGCCCCAGCTCCTTCCCCTCTCCATGGACAATGAGCCCAGTGCTCAGCAGAGACAAAAATCAACCCTAACCCCTGGGTTTTCCTCACTAACGCTGCTTAGAAACATTGTTTACGAGAATTGAAATGGAAATTTGAGGCCAACTCACTTACCCAGAAAGTTATATTTAACCACAAGCCCCATTTCCCTGAGCATTCTGGTTAATCAAGGCCCAGCTACTGAGGTAAGAAAAATGACAAGGAAGAGAAGGTAGGAAACAGACACTGTGTGTCTATGGGCCACTGGCCAGCCATAGTAGAGGCCTTCCTTGGGCTGCCATAGGCAGGTGGCACCTTTACCCAGCTCGCTGCTCCTGCAGCCAGGCTGCTTGATTGGCACCAAGGTGGTCTGGGGCCCCCAAAGCAGATGGGACTTTGCCATCCAGTACTGGCTAAGTCCTGGCCTTAGAGACGTAGCCAGCCATAGCGTTAATGTGCAGTCCTAGTTTCTCACCCCTCTAAATTAGGAGGACCTTGTGTTCCTTGCTGAGTAATGTCCGTTTTCCTAATATTTGGGGTTACAATTTATTTCATTTTTTTTAATATTCTTGCTCAATGACACCCCCCAACACTGATTGTTTGTGAAATTTTGTGAAATAGACCAAGTGGAATTCCTGATGGCAGATAACTCACATTTCCATGGCACTGAAAGGTTTCAAAAATGCTTTCCCTGGGACCCTGGGAGGAAGGGAGGTAGGACAGCCTCATTTCACAAATGAAGAAACTGAGGTTCAGCAAGATGAAATGACTTCTCTGTGCTCACTCGATCTTAAGTGTCGGAGACAGGATTCTAAGCCAGCTACCCTGCCTCTTTTGGAGTCGACCTGCGTGCTCTCCATCCTGGAGACACACTGGCTTCAGACAATCACAGCCCCCTCCCCCCAGGCAATGGGGGAACTACAGTGTTATGTCTTAATGAGCCCTTGGGCCCCCATTCTCTTGGCACTTGGCATCTGCCAAACGCACCAGAAGCGGCCTCTCTAGAACGGCTCACCTTTGGAGCTGAAACCCCAGGGACTTCCTGCCCACCTTCAATAGAGCTTCTGTCTAAATATTTTCACATCGAAGTTTATACTTTCCGACAGGCAGCCTGCCGCGGAGGGAGGCGCATGTCTAGCCCAATCTGGTCGCGTTGTTCTATTTCTTCTCCCTTCTTTAAAGTTCCTGGTGCTGTTCTGTTCAGGTTGAGTTTCTGCTTTTCTGTCCTGCCTGGGATGGGGAGCATTGGTGTGCTCTTTTACCAAAGATTCCTGTTCTTTTTTGGTTCATGTGATCAGGGGCTCACAGAGTTAGGGCTGGAAGGAACTTCAGACACCGTCCAGTCCAGCCCCTTCATTTTCCAAATGAGGAAACTAGAGCCCACAGAAGGGAAGGGCCTCACCCGAGATCTCATGGGTAATAAGAGACAGAACCAATATTCAAACCTAAAGCCAGTGGATTGTTTTTTCTCTTACACTCGTTGTCTTTCTCAAACTTGTTAGGTCCCTTCAGGACAGACAATGAATGTTCTCACCTCTGGCTGCCGGGTTCTTTACCTCCCCCCCCCATCCTCCTTAAAAAATAAAAGGGCAGTGAAGAAGGAAATGTGTGCATTTCATTTGGCCTTGTGAAAGATGGAGAAGTTCCACCAGGATATTCTGTGCTGTCAAGAGATAGAAAGCTGCCTGCCAGCACCATCACTGGTCCTTACATGTGTGCCAGGCATCTTTCCCAGCCTCTTTTCAACTGCAAGGGTTTTGTTCTTTATTACCCAGCAGGCTGACTCATTACAGATGTTTGAGTCACCAGGCTCATGAGTGGCTTGTTGCAAACCTACACCATGTTTGACATCGTGTACTCCCTTGCTGGGGTATCTGCATGGACCGTGGGGAGAGCCCAGTGGAGGCAGACATCTGGACAGTTGCTCAGAAGGCCTGTTGTTGCAGGTGTTCCCTCCAAGCACCTCCTTCTATGACACTGTCTGGAGCTTCTGTGACCAGCCCTCTAGCCCTTGGGCTGGGCCCCAGGCTCCATCTCCTCAGGCTCTGAGATTTCCATTGGTATAGTCTTCAACACCCTAGAGCCACCTCCAGGCCTCACCAAAGCATCAGAGGAGGTTTGGAGTTGTGGCAAAGGGATGTTACAAGTTTCTGAAATTAGAGACTGCCACATAAAAGGCTGTTGATTTCTCATTTACATTTGGGCAGTAGACTTGCAGTCAGAAGGTCTGGGGTTGCCTTGACTCTGCTACTTAACTCCCCGTGTGATCTTGGGCAGATTACTTTACCTCTGTGACCCCCAGTTTGAGCATCCCTACGATGGGTTTAATAATCCTCACCCTTCCTAGCTTCTGGGGTTGTAAAGCTTATAAGCTGAAAAATTTATAAACTGGTATGAACTGGAAGGTGGCACTTCCTTCTGAACTTATGAATGATCATCAGTAGGCTCAACTACAATTACTTTCTGAGCAACTAGTGTCCAGGAATGTAGGGAACTTGGTGGTTATTTAGTCCTCATAACTCCAGGCAGCTGTTTGGGGGGCATTTTAATTGACTTCATCTTTGTCTTTTAGGAAGCCCAAGCCCTGGCACAGCAGCAAGCGTGAACCCTTCTGCCTTCTGGCCCTATGCCTCCTGTGAGGGATTCGCCACCGCAGTTGCTTTTCTAAAATAGCAAAATGATCTTGGCTTCCGGAAAACAATAGGCTTCATGTCTCCAGCATCAATTTGTTGCTTGGTGTGCTCGGCGTCCAAACGATAACCAATGGAATACATGATTAAAATGTGAATGTTATATGGTTAGAGCTTCTGGGAGATGATTATTGTAAAATTACAAGTAGATGTGATGGAGTGGTGTTGTGATCTGTCTGGGCATCCGTGACCCCTCCCCCCCTTTTTTTAATCGTAGTGCAAAAACCTCTTTTTTATGTTATTATTTTTATTGTTACTGCAGCTTAAATATCTCTAGAGCTCCTGTTGTTAAGCATATGAGAAACCAAAATAAAATGGGGAGGGGAAGAGGATCTGTCTAATTGATTCGATGCCTCGGTGCCCTCCTGGATTTTTCCAAACAAGTACTTGTGTACAATTTTGATGTGTTTCTATGGTGATTTTTAAAGAAGCCATAAGCAATGTTTATCATTTGGCACTTGTCATGATGACTTATGGCCATTCCGATATTCCAGTTCTTTTGTAGATGGAAGCTGTGTACTGTGCATGGCACATACTCTCGGGGCTCCTTAGCGTAGCCCTGTGTTGCTCATTTTGGCGATCAACAGAAAGAAACCCCTTTCCACTGAAAAGTCAGAAAAACATCCAGGTGACGGGTCCCTTGCCTGACTCCCCCCCGCAGCTGAGGCTTAATCTTCTCTTTCAAGGTTGTGTGTGCAAAGACTGGTCTGTGTCTGAGCATTGGGCCCTTGGGCTTTGAGTCAACATGGGTGCTACAGAATCCTTCAATTACGTGGCTGAAAACAGGCAGAAAATCATTGCCCAAGGAGCCTGAGTTTCCATGGGAGGAGCTAAGAAGCAAACGTTCCCCAGGTGATGATTGGTACCGTGGCTTTGTAGATTGTTGTTTTTTCCCTTTCAGTTTTCAAACGACACATCACCAGGGCACTAAGCTCCAAAAATTGGCAAATAGGAATTAGAAACTCAACTGTGCAAATGCATTTTCTTAGCACGTGAAGCATATTTTTTCATGAGTACATTAAGTTTAGATAGATTTATCTTTTCTACACTTCAATAATAGCAAACGTCCAATAAGAGTATCCATTCAACCAAGGGACCAATTTAAAACCATAACCCTCGAGGCTGATAAAAGGGCAAGGAGCTATATGGCCTCCATCACTTACTTAGGGAGCAGTTTTCTTACCATAGAGCCTTTGCTACTAAAAGCACCCCATGGGCACCCCCATTTTCCCTTAAGTGACTTTCTATTACCCTGCGCCGTATGCATTGCTGTGTTGTTTGCCAAAACCAACATGTAATGAATATATGGCATTGTTTATGGAGGTTCAACACAGGCACAGTGCTTTAAAGTGAGATCAACATTTTTAGAAACAGAAATTACAGACTGCTGGGGATCTGAAATGAATAGGAGTAATGCCAGATGAATAGTATGTGGTTTCTTCTGAGGGGGAGGGAGGGGAACAGGAAACAGTGGAAAGAAAACTGTTTAAATATTCCTTTCTAAGTTTGCTCGTCAGGCTTCTGAAGTTGCCATCAACAAAGACATTTCAAGAACAAATGTTCGACTGATTTGTGTGTGCATTATGGCCTCAAGAATGCTGGGGGACATGGGGTATCTGGATCAGATTCTAACGGACAGGAAATGTTTGGGCCCCAAATGATTTTGCTCCACTTCCTTGCAGGAGAGGGCAACAGGTTTTAGTGGCTAGCGAGCTGGCCTCAAAGCCAGGAAGACCTGAGTTCAAGTCCTCCCTCTGACCCATCCTGACTGTATGGCTCTGGGCAAGTCACCTAACCCTTCTGGGCTCTGGGCAACTCTTGAAGACTTTTAAGTCGTGGAGAAGATGCCAGCCTGCATTGGTAGGACTTTCCACATATTCCAGATCTCAATGAAATCAAAAGTCCAGTCCCTGTACCTAGCCTGATCTCCCATGCAAAAGTGAACCCTGTCTGGCTGTGCTTCTAACTCCGTACTGGTCTCAAGGGAGGCAGCTAGCCAAAGGAGGGGATTCTGTGGAGTGGCTGGCCTCCAGCTAAGTGGCTTACCACTGATAAAGCGGCACATTCATCCAAAGGGAAAAAAATATGACTGTCTTCCCTGCCCAGTTATTTGGGTTTCATACTGAAGGGTACATCTTTATTTCCTTAGCTGTGTCCCCTATAGCCAGGTCTGATAAAGTAGCCAAGAAAGTGAAAACCAGAATGGTAGGGGAAGTTTTGATGAGAAAAGAAAATCATATTGCCCCAGAAAACCTCCCCTCTGATGTCGGATTTTTAGGGGAGATCATGGCATATTACTTTTTGGGTGGATCAGATCTGTTGATTGCCCATTGATCTAAAAAGATGAATTTCAGGTATTTGAGCTAATATTTTTCTCTGAAACAGATTTATTCCATCAGGTTGGAGGACAACAGAGCAGGGCTGTTAGCTTCATTATCTACAGGTTGTGCTCATGCTTTAGGAGGGAGTTTTTACCTTTGGATGTCATGGACCTTGTAGGCACTCTGCTGAAGTTTGTGGACCCTTTTCTCAGAATGATTTTTTAAAAAAATTCCCGATTAAAGGAAATGTTAAATTTCAGTGAGAGGTTAATGAAAATAAAGATGCATTTTTTTCCCACCCAAATTCATGAGGCCCCAGAAATCGACCCACAGGTCCCTTGGGAATCCATGGTCCCCAGGTTAAGAACCATAGGTGCCTGAGGGAATAAAACGGACTTGCTTCTGAGTAGCTAAAGGCCCTGGCATCAGTGCCCGAGCGCCGGGGGTTCTCTGGGGGGAGGGTGGAATCCAAAGCAAGGCGAGGCCAGGGAAAAGCCGCTGCCTGTCTGTGTTGTGCTTCTGATTCGATTATGACCGATTCCAATTGTTCCCCCTTCTCCCCGGCTTTTTTTTTTCTTCTTTCGCCTAAATAGAAATAGCTTTGCTTTGAAACAAATGATTTACCATTCCAATAAAACTCTTGTAGATGCTTTCACATTTTCGATGTTTCCATTGTCTGGACTCTTTGTTCTGGCCCTAAATATGAACAGAAATATACTCCTCCACCCCTTCTATTTCACAAATGAAAATATGGATTCCTACCTAAGTAGCATTCCTGGGATTGTAATATTCCATCTAACTTAGCACCATCCCCTTTTTTGTTTCAGAAAGGGTTTAAATATATACATAAAGATATGTAGATATAGATATGAGATATATATATATATATAAAGATACATAGATATAGATACACATATATTTATATACAATGATACATATATACATATATGTATACATGTGTATAAAAAATTCAGTTAGGTCCAGTCCAACCCGAGATGTTTGGAAATATGCCCCCAAAGTGCCAAGTAATGAGCATGCCATTTACAATTATGCCACTCTCTCCCAAGGCCCTATTAAAATGTAACTATACCTGTGGGATGACTAATTCCTTAAATGCAGTTATTTTACACCTTGACCACCCTCTGCCAAAATTTATTTCTCAAAATCAGGAGAGGACTGAGCTCCTCAAAGGCTCACCGTCTTCCTGGACCCGTTTGCTGTATGGCTCCTGGGGTACGTGTGTGGGAGAGGGTTGGGGGGTGGGGCAGTGGAATGGAAGGGTAGCAGGGGTTTTTTTTAATCTCTTTCAATCCCTTTAATTCCCCCCCCTCCCTACCTATGCTTGCTTTTCTTTCATTCTTCCTCTCCCTACTCCTCCCCTCCTCTTTCCCCCTTGGCTGCCTTTTCCCCTTCCTCTCCTTTCTCCTTCCTGCCATGCTTAAAGCCCACAGTGGTAGACAAGTGAGTGGCTGGGGGTTGGGTTAGAGCTGAGGGAAAAAAACATTCATTCCATTCTTATGCCCCCCCCCTTTCAGGCCCCTTGCTACAAGTATCCTTCCATATATAAAATGTGTTCTTGAAAAGTTGGCTGTAAGGAAAAATTCAAGATGTCAAACCTTTTCTTCTCGTTGACTTGAATTTATAAATGAGAGCCTGGGGCCCTGAATGCTGCTGTTGCCATGGCAGCAGAAATTCACAATTCCCTTGTGCCAATCTAAGAAGCACAGTATATGCATTGCTTGTGGAAATTCTCTAAGTAAGCCCATCCTATATGCTGAGTTGCCTTACTGTCAAGGGGGTACATTTCTTGTTTTTTTTAATTCCGTATCCAGTCAGGATGGAGAATACTTGAATAAATCTGCATTTCTTAACTTGAATTAAGGTCCCTAGGCATGTTGAGATGGAGCTCTGAAGCAACAAATTACATGAGTAATTTAGGAAAACCAAAACCCTATTACTGAGATCCTGTCTGTTAAACCCAGTGACTGACTAAAAGATCAGAGTTAGCCTTCTTTCTAGGAATGGCGCAAAACGGTTAAATGGGGCACTGGCTGCTTAGCTCTTGGACTTTCCCCAAGTAGGACTGAAGGAACCACCTTCCTCTCTCCCCAGTCTATGTCCTTCCCATCAAAGTCCTGCTTAAAGTTTCCGAGGCAGGCATTTACTCATAGAATAATGGACTATTAGAGATCGAAGAACCCTCAGATTTAGTCCAATCTCTTCATTTTACGGAGGAGGAAACTGAGACCAGAGAGGGGAAGCTATGTTTCCAAGGTCACTGACACACACCACAAGCAGCCAGACTAGAATTTGAACCCAAGACTCCATTTATTAAGTGCTTGCTATATGCAAAGCACATTGCTAAACTCTAGCGACCCCTAGTCCAATGCTTTACTCACTACCAGCAGGCAGGGCATTTGATCAAGCCATTTGTCATCACAGGCAGATCATCTCATTTTTGTGTGGAACCTTCACGTGAAACCATTCCATGATGCAATGGAGAGGGGCTCAGATCCAGAGGAGGACTTTAGTGGGTAGTGTTTAGGAGAGACAGAGACAGACAGAGGGCAAGAGAGATGGAGAGACAGCAGAGAGATGGACAGAGCAGAGAGTGAGACAGAGGGAAAGCAGAGAGAAACACAGAGATATAGAGACAGAAGAGACGAAGAGGTGGAGAAAGCAGAGAGAGACGGGCAGAGCAGAGAATGAGACAGAGAGGGAGGGAGAGCAGAGAGAAACAGATGGAGAGACATCGAGAGCAGAGAGAGATGGATAGAGCAGAGAAAGAGGGAGAGCAGAGAAAATGAGATGGAGAGAGACAAAGACAGATGGAGAGAGATATATAGAGAGAAGGGACAGAGGTGGAGAAAGATATGGAGAAAAAACAAAGATGGAGAGACAGACACAGAGGCATGGATGTGTTTGTGTGTGTATGAGAGATCAAGAGAGAACAGAGACAGAGGGACAGAGCAGAGAATGAGACGGAGGGACAGCAGAGAGAAACGGAGAGAAAGACAGAGGGACGGAGAGAGATGGACAGCAGACAATGAGACAGAGATGGAGGGAGAGTAGAGAGAAACCGAGAGATGGAGAGAGACAGACAAAGACAGAAGAGACAGAGAGCTGGAGAAAGCAGAGAGAGATATGGAGAAAGAGCAGAGAGAGCCAGAGAGATGGAAACAGAGAGAGATGGAGAGAGATAAAGACAGACAGACATGGAGAGAGATACATAGAGAGAAGAGACAGGTGAAGAATGCAGAGAAAGAGACAGAGTAGGAGAGCAGAAAGAAACAGAGATGGAGAGAGAGCTAGAGACAGAGAGATAGAGACAGACACAAAGACACAGATATGGAGAGTGACTCAAATACTTAAAGAGCAGTGAACTAAAATCAGATTGGAAAGTCTTCAAATGTTCAAAAATTGATATTCTTGTCTCCATGTAGATAGCCCTTGAAGGCTATATCAAAGCATAATTTGATCTCCCCTGTGTAAATGACCCTTTCAGAGTTTGATGACAGTGATGGCCTCAGAGCCAAAACGATGCTGCCTCGATGATGGTTTGAAGAATCCCTTCTATTTTGGAGCAGGGGGGCGGGGTGGATCTGTGATTTCATCAGTGTAGGGGCCTCCCAGTGCGGAGACTCCCTTCACCTGCAGATCAGAATCTTGTCTACTAGTCGCAGTGTCAGAGAGTTGCCTGGATCACCAAGAGGTTAAGTGATGTGCCCTCCTTCACGCTGCCAGTATGTGTCAGGGTCAGGACTTGAACTCAGGGCTTCCTGATCGCAAGGCTGACCCTCTTTCCACCACGCCACATCGCCTCTTGTTTTTCTATAAAATCGGAATGCCAAAGTGGCACAGGTTGGAGTCACCGCGACACAATCTCTATCACGACTTTAACAGGAAAAATACAAGATTGCATTACAGAGCAATGAATTAGAGAGCTAGAAGGGTAAGCAGCCCTGTCTGGATATTTCCATATCTTCAGTTTTTCACTGCTGACAGCCTCAGGAATTCATAGATCTCTTTTCATTGATTTGCATTAATAAACATTTCCAAGTTCTGAAAGCAATTAAAATAGAATTGTTGTGTTAATGCCGATAATATTCAGTGAGGTGGCATTCCTTCAACTGAAGTGTCTTGATACACTCCCAAATTAGCCTACTACCCAAGTATTCACAAAATATGGTCCTCTTTCTTATCGGGGAGTTTCCATAGAGTACATATGTCACCAGATCCTATTTCTAAACTTAACACAAAAACATGATGAAACGGCTTTTGCAACATAAAGAGCTTGAAGTTTTTGCAAGTCTTTTACATGTCTCTCCCAAGTTTCCTTCCCTTCCCCCTCCCAAACGGCTTTCATATAAAAAAAAAAATCTTAAAAAAAAAAAGCCCAAGGGGCATCTTGTACACTACATATGGGAGTGCTGATTATCCTTTGTTTCCCGGACCACTGTGACCTAAGCTTTCATCACCTGGTGTTTAGCTTTCCTAGAATTATCCAAGCCGGGCTTTGCTGGGTGGATGGCTCCTCAAAGGCATACCCATACCCATACCCATACACAAGGCCTTTGGGGCTTGGTCGGACCTACCAGGGACCGTGTCCATGGCAGGACATCCTCATAGCACAAGGAAACATCAAGACGGTTTGGTGGGCAGCCGTCACCCTCTGCAGACTGCACTTCTCCTAGGGCAGTAATTATGCCTTTCTAGAAGATGGGGAACCCTGCTCTTGGTCCTCAAGACCCTAGAAATGCAGAACTCCTCCCACCTATCTATGATCTCATAAGAAAAAGCAGAAGCAAAAAAAAATACACAACCCAAAACCCACATCAGGCTTTATTCTTATTCCACACTAGTCACCTCTGTTGAATATCTAGCGGCAGGGTGGGGTGCTGAGCCTTGGGGTTGCCAGTCTTTGTCCTCATTTCTTGAAGGATTTTTTCATTGATTGATATGTCTATTAACTCGTATTTCATGTGGCTGCTGTCTACAAAGCAGATTATCTTTGCTTCACCTGGAAAGATACAGAGCCAAGGAGCAGAGTCGAACAGCTTTCCCCCTTCCCAGTGGCCTCAGTAAAACCAGTGTATGGAAAGGAGGCTGTGAACAGCCCCCTTTAAGAGGAACTTGGGGGATTCCCCAGTTCAAATTCCCTGATCTGGGCCCAGAGCAACTGACAAAGATTCGATTTCATATTGCAGGTGAATGAGCATTATTGCTAAGGGCCTCTGGGGTGCTAGGATTCTAGGGAAATGGCTTATTTCCCTAATGCCTCAAAGTTTAAAGAGCATCGTTTGCACAGGCAGGTGGCTTCAGTGTTGGTATACCCTTTTTACAGATGTGAAAAGTGAGGCTTGGAGAGGTTGGGACTTGAAGTACCTAGATAGCATAGTGGATGGAGTGCCAGACCCGGAGCCAGGAAGACTTGAATTCAAATCTGCCTCCTATACTTCCTGTTTGTGTGACTCTACAAGTCACTTAACATCACTTGGGCTCGGTTTCCTTATCTGTGAAAAGGGAGAATAATAACACCCACTTCATAAAGCTATTGTGAAGATCCAGTGAGATACCATAGGTATAGCACTGTGCCAACCTTAAAACAGTATAGAAATCCTGGGGATCATTATCACTTTTTTTTTAGGCAATTGGGGTTAAGTGACTTGCCCAGGGTCACACAGCTAGTAAGTGTCAAGTGTCACATTTGAACTCAGGTCCTCCTGACTTCAGGACCAGTACTCTATCCACTGTGCCACTTAGCTGCCGCAGATCATTATCACTCTTGCCCCAGATTGGGCCACTTGAAAAGAGCTGGGTTTCAAGCCCAGGTCCTCGCCAAGCTCTGCCTCCAAATTCCCTCTTCTTTCACATCCTTTCCAGCTCAATGCTATTTTTTTTGCCCACGAGTCATTGTCAGGCTTTTTGCTTATGGCTGGCCTTGACTTACAGGAAGGATAAAAGTAAAATCCCACTCAACCCATTCCTACTTAGAAAAGCCTACATATTTCAGTGGGATAGCTGAAAAGTTTCCGAAGTTGCCACTATGTGGTCTCCTTCCTTTGGGTGTGTTACGACACGATAATTTGTAATGACTTCAAAGAGGGCAGCAGAGATGTCTTCTGGGTGATTGTATCTATCCTCCCCCACCCCCTTCCATTCCAGGCCTGACTTCCTCATCCCAAAGCATTTTCTTTTAAAGATTAATTTCTACTCCCAATGAATATCTAACCATAAAGGTCGACTTGGGGAAGCAGGGACTCCAGGCAAGAAGGTGGTGATGCTGGGCTAGGATGGGCAGAAATGTCATAGATTGAGATTTCTACCCTCAGGAGGTTTAGGGGTGCTGACCTGTGCTGTGGGAAAGGAAAGGATACCTCAGGGAGTCCATGCTAGGTCAGAAGTTTGGTTGTGAATACTGGCCCCCTTCCTCCTTGGCCGGTGGGTGGGGTGGGGTGGGCAGGAGGGAGCCTTTTCCTAGGATCATACAATGATGGAAAGCTGGAAGGGATCTTAGAGATCATCTGATTCAGTGGTGTCAAACTCATATAAAAACAGAGCAACTAAACTGTATATAAAGATCCCTACAGCCACATGTTGCCTTAGAAAACCACATATTTACATTATCTATATTCCACTGTATTTGATTTATTTCATTTAATATTTCCCCAATTACATGTTAATACAGTTCCAGGAGCAGCGGGGAGTGTTACAGCAAGTAATGTGGAGGCTGTGTGTCTGATACCTCTGATTTAATCCATTTCCTTATTTTACAGAGGAAGAAACTGACGCATGAAAATGACTTGCCCAAGGTCACACATATAGGAAGTGCTACAGCTGTGATTCAGCCGTAGACCTCAGACTCCAAATATAGTGTGGTTTCCAGGACACCACACTGCCTCTTACAAACGAAAAGCATATACTACTATAAAAGCATTTAAAAAAATAAACAAAAAACCAGCTCACACCTACTGAAAGAGGGCTGGTGAAATAAATAAACCAGCCCTTTGGAAACATACAGGTCACATCACTGCTCAACTTTGGGCAATATAGCTAATCGCTGGGCTTAAATCCCACGTTGCATTCCAGCCCCCCCCCCCCCCCCCCCAACCCCCCCCCCCCCTACCCGCTTGTAGATGCCTTCACGCGCGGCGCACTTTAAGGCTAATTTTTCCAGCCTGGAGCAGACTACGGCATCTGGGTGCTAGATGGAGAAGATGCTAGTCATTACTTCTACCTGATTCTGCCTCAGTTCATCGGGCTGACAAATGTTTTCTTTTTGCTTCTTGTGAGGCAGCTCTGGGGCCAAACCTTCTTCAGGTTCTCTGCCTCCCTGTTCCTCCCATTTCCATCAGGGATGATCTGAAAATGATTGGGCCCCTGGGAAAGCAACTGTGTCTAGGAATATTTACCCGATGAAATACATTTCTAAGCTAACAGAGTAAACCGAGGAAAGGGTAGCAACATGAAGGAGGGCTACCTACTTCTCTGGAGTTACAAGGAATGTTTTACCACGACCCTGGGAGGTCAGCATTGGTTTCTCATTTTACAGATAAAGTGACTGACTCCCAGGGAGGGAATAATGACCTCCTTCCTCCTCTCAGCTCTTCTTTTTTCCTCCTGTTGCACTTTTCTCTAAGGACTGGGACTGATTGATGTAATAAACTTTAATAAAGAGCTAGAGATGTTCATTGCAACGTCTGAGGGATAGCTTGGGATCTGCTACTTCACTGGTGGCGACCTGAAGGTAACAGGGGCGTCCTCCCTCACCCACTTCTCCTGTTGCTAAGGGAAACCAATCAAGACACCCTTGATTGGTCAACAAGGGACAATGGGGTTCTGTTTTCAATTCTCAGTATCTTTGGATGACAGAGGGCTGGCGTTTGCTCGGTTAATTATCTAAAGCAGTGGGCTGCGCGCCCCTGCTCCTCCCTCTTCTCTCCCCCCCCTTCCTCTTCCTCGTCCCTCTCTCCTCCCTCCCCACCTCTTTTCTTTCTGTCTCCCGTCCTCTTCTTTACTCTTTCCCCTCCCTATTCTCCTTTTATCCCCTCCCCCTCTCCTCTCCCATGTTCAGAACAGGCCCAGCCACCAGGCAATCAAGGGGCTAAGCCTGGCGTTAGAGAACAGGAACGGTTCGGTCACTTTAGCTGGTTTAATGTGACTGCCTGCTTCATAAACAGGGAAGTGTATTGGCGAACGGGAATGAGCCCAGTCACCGAACCCAGAGCATCAGCCGACCTGGGTTCGACTCCCAACCCTGCTGCTTTCTAGCAGTGAGACCTTGGCCAAGTCGATGTTCCTTAGAGGGACCTCAGTCTACTCCTTGGAACTACCTGAGGGTCGGACTGGATTCCCCCACCCCCATCCCTTTCTCTCTGCAAGGTGGCAACTTCAGGGTTGATCCAAGATCCTTATTAGATCTAGACCTGGAAGGGTCTTGAGGGCTCATCTAGTCCACCCCCTCCCTCCTCGTTTTACTGAGGCGCGGAAGGGTTGAGTGATTTGCCCAAGGTCACAAAGATGGCAGGCAGGATTCGAATCCAGGTCCTCTGAAGCCTTGTCACGCTGTCTTCCCAGTTAAAAGGAGTACTGTGGAGAAGGAAGTTGAGAGCAGAAGGCAGGGCGGGGTTATACGCACAAAGCTGGCTATTTGAGCAGCAGTTTAGCCGAGGTTGGGTCGCGCCGGCCCGGCCAGACGACGATGGGATGGGCGCTACCCGCTGTCCCTCCTCCTCCAACTCCGCCCCCGCCCGCTCCGCTACTTACGCATGCGCAAACACATTCCTACTCCACCTCCACCCCCTTCGCCCCCGCAGTGTTCCGGGCAGCTCCGGCAGGCCACGGGAACCAGTGAGTGGTAGGGAAAGTTGAAGAGAGCGACGGTCCACGCCCCTTCCCTCCCTTTCCCTCCCCTCTCCCTCCCCCCACTGGGTGTGCCCCGCCCCAGTGGCGCTCACTGGCCGTAGCATCTTGGGCAAGTCCCCTAGCTTTCTGAGCCTCAGTTTCCTTCCTTGTCAAAAGCCCAGGGCCGACTTGGGGCCCTGCCTGTTCTACCACTCGCTATCCCATATGCACAACACCCCCCTACCCTCCCTCCCCAGCTTGGTGTGAGGAATCATAAGGATGATGAAAGGGCCGTACCCACGGGGATGCCAGCAGCCAGTGGCCCGGAGGGTTCCGTCGGGGTGGGTGTCTGGGCGCCTAGGCAGCCTGAGGACAGAAGTGAGATCCCGGGGCGGAAGTGGGGGGGGCTTCTTTCCACTCCCCCGAAGAAGGGTCATCTCCCCCCTTCCCGGGAAAACCCTGGCCTTGGGCCCTCAGGGTGCACATTACCACATCCTCTTTCGACGCCCTGTCATTACTGCCCTTGTGACCAGCTCACGCAATTCTCCCACTGGGTTGGCCACCAAAGGGGAAGGAGTGCTCTGTGGTCAGGGCTATCTCTGGCAGGAACCAAGAAAAGGCAGCCAGTCCTGAGTGGCTGCATGTGCTGCGCTGCTGGGACCTTGGAGCAAGGTAAGCCTCAGGCCCTTGAACCCTGTCCCCAAGGAGTTTGCCCTGGAACGCTTAGAGATCACAGCCTAGGACGGTAACAGAGAGGAAGGGCCAGGTATGTTCTGTGTGAAATGCCCTCCTGCAGGCCTCGAATATGGGGAAGCTCCTAGGGCCTCCCTGTGACTCCAAGGAAGGGGCTGCTCAAGGCATGCCAGGAAATGGGTATGTTGGCAGATGGAGCCCTGGGCAAGATCCCAAACAGAAGTAGCTCCCTAGGAATAGGGACAGTGACATGCCCCACTCTGAGCTAGCCTTACTTGCCAATAGCCTAGGACTCAAAAAAATTAGTAATTGGTGGCATATTTGGCCCCCACTTCCCTGGAAGCTGTTGGCTTTGTAGGGTGGTACAATGCCCAGGCAGTGTGGAGAGAGAGCTGGCCATGAAGAAAGGGTTCTGGTCCTGCCTCTGACTCATGCTGGCTGTGTGACCCTGGGCAGACCACTTAAGCCCTCAGATCTCTAAGTGGCTCTCTAGGCTAAGTTGAGAAGAGACGGTCCCCGGTAATAGTGCCCGGGCACCAGTGCCTCTTTCATGAGGGAGGGAGTTCCTTATACCAATAAAAGCATGGATCCAGTGCCTACAGTGTGGTAGGAACCTCGTGTACTAGGACACCTAGGTTCTAGTACTGTGCTGGGAACATTTATAAGTGATGTAGATTATTTTAATTATTATACAGCTTTATATTTTAATTGAATTTTTATTTTATCCATTCATTCGACAATTAAAAAAAGTGTCTGCTGTCTGACAGGCATGAAATAGTCCCTCCTAGGGGCTCATTGTGATTTTGATCTATGGTGCAGCCATTGTGCACATAGAAGTAAATACAGGCTACAGATAAATTAAAGACAAGGTAATGGGGGGGGCACTAGCAGCTGATGTGGTTAGGTGATGTAGGAGGAGGCACCTGAATTGGGGATTCTCTGAAGTGGAGGTGAGGAGGGAGGAGTGCGGACAGGCCCTACAAAAGCATGGAGGTGGGAGATGGGGATGTTGTGTGTGAGAAGCAAGAGGGCACATGCAAGGTAATAATGTATGATAAGCCTGGAAAAGCAGGCTAGGACTGGGGAGTGAAGGGCTTTAAAAGGAAGGACCTTGTTTCTAGGAACTGGCTTGAGCTGGGCCTTAGAAGGAAGCCAGGGATTTGAAGGGAGTGGCAGTGAGGCAAAGGAGTGCACTCCAGGCATGGGGGACGGTCAGGACAAAAGTGCAATGATGGGAGATTGACTAGGAAGGGGCCCGGGGGCCAGTGCATGGAGGGTGTGAACCTTCTCAGTCCTAAGCCAGCGTCCATTTGTCTATATAACACAGCTTCCCTAAAAGCACCTGTCTGTAGCCAGGTCCTCCAAAGTAGCAGACGTGGTATGGCATCAGTGACAATCCTGGGCTTGTTTCCAACACCACTCCCTTCTCTCATCCTCACTCAAGGCTACTCCACTCTATCCCCTCCCACCCTGGCCCACCAGGGCTGCCCAGGTAGGGTTGGCCCCTCACGGTTGTCTTTAACCTGACCAGATCCAGGCAAAACCCCATCCCCCTCCACCGTGTCCCTCGGTGTTTCCACCCCTTGGCTCCCAAATCACCTCAGGGCTTGGCTAGGTGCCCTGAGCACCATTGAATGAGTAAGGGCCCTCCCTCCCCCTTTTGGTTTTGGGAGGGAGTGAAGTGAGTCCTACAGGCTGGGCCAATGGCATCACTGGGATGTGATCTTCCTCAGCAAACATCCCATGGCCTTTCCCACCAATGGTACCTCTTCCAAACTCTACTATTTTGAGGGTGCCATCTTTCTTCCAGTCGCCCAGCTTCCACCCCTCCTAGTCAGCCCTGTCCTCACTCTCATAATCCCCATATCTAACCAGTTGCCAAATCTTGTCTTTTCTACCTCTCCAACATCTCTTGCATATGTCCCTTTCTCTCTGCTCTTATGACCACCACTTCAGTTCTGTCCCTCATCGGCCCTTTCCTGGACTATTGTAATAGCCTCTTTGGCCTCCGTGTTTCAAGCCTTCCCCCCTCCCCACAGCTACCAAAATGATCTTCCTAAAGCCCAGGCCTGAACATGTCACTCCCCTACCCAATAAATCCCAGTGACTCCCTGTTAAGTCTGGAATCAGGTATTATTTCATCACCATCTGCCTCCTTCATTCCTACTCAGGGGATACTGCACAAAGCTCGAGGAAATCTCACAACCATGCTGACTTTCCAACCAAAGCTGGGCTCTCACTGAAGCAGGGCAGTTCTTTTATTCATCCCTAATTGATTCCCTATCTCACTCCTGCAGAAGCTATTCCAAATCTGCTCTTCACTCTTGAAGCCCCTCACACCTCTCCCTCCCCCCTCTTTCTCAGCTGAGGACCTTGACTCTTATTTTACTGAAAAAAAAATTGAGCTCCCTCTTGTCTCATTCTCTGTCATCTTTCATTCTCTCCTCCTTTCCCCCAGTTTTTTCCAAAGAGGGAGTGGTCAAGGCCACCTCCTCTACATGTCACTTAATCTCCCTTCAGTCACCCCCCCCATCAATCTCTCCCTATCAACTGGTTGTTTCCCTGCGGCCTTCAGACATGACTCTCCCATCCTTAAAAACCCCTTCACTAGACCCTTTCATTCCCTCACCAATCTCCTATATCTTTCCTCCTGTCATTAGCCATTCTTCTTTTAAACGTTGTCTACCTGCCTGCACCTCCTCTCCTCTCAAACTCCCCAGCCTTTTGTAGTCTGACTTTTAACCTCATCACTCAACTGAAGGTACAATCTCCAAAGTTACCAGCGATCTCTTAATGATCCAATCTGATGATGTTTTCTCAGTCTTCATCCAGAGTGACCCATCTGCAAAATCTGACATTGTTGACCACCTTCTCCTGGACATTCTCGTCTCTGGGGTTTCCTGATACTGTTCTCTCCTGATTTACCTCCTGTCTTACTACTTGTTCCCAGCCTCTTTTGTTGACTCATCACCCACAATCTTGGCCCCTAATGTGGCCGTTCTCCCAGGTTCTGTCGTGGTCTGTCTTCCCTTCTCCTTCTGTCCTCTCTTGGTGACTTCATCAGACCCCACGGCTTTAACTGTCAATGTCTATATGGATGACTTCCAGATTTCCATACTTAGCCTCAGTCTTTCCACTAAGCTTTAGTTCCATATCACTAGTTGCTTATTGGGCATTTTCAACCGGATCTCCCACAGACATCTTAGACTCACTGTGTCTAAAACTGAACCCATCATGTTTCCCCTTAAACTGTTCCTCCTTCCCTATTTCTGTCACCCACTCACCCAGGTCCACAGCCTTGATGTCATTCCCGGTCCCTCCCTCTCCCTCGCTCTTTGTATCCAATCAGTTGCCAGATCTTGCTGTTGCTACCTTCACATCTCTCCCATCTGACCCCTTCTCTCTGCTTCCACAGCTCCCTCATCTCCTCTCCCCAAGATTACTGCAGCTGCCTCCTGCTTGGTCTCCCTGCCTCCAGCCTCTCCCCACTCCAGTCCATTCTCTACACTGATGCACATCGAGCTTCCTGAAGTACAGATCTAATCATGCAACTGCCCTACTCAACCAACTCTAGTGGGTCCCCATGGCCTCCAGAATAACTCAAACCAAACCAAACTCCTCTGTTTAGCTTCTAAATCCCTCCCCAACCTGGCCCCAAGCTATCTTTCCAGTGTTCCCGCATTACTCCCTCTTCTGCACTCTGCCATCCCAGACCCAACTGGCATTCTCTTGGTTCATTTCCCTTCTCCATGGGGGCCCCCTGCCCATCCCCCATCCCTGGGATATGTTCTCTCCTCACCTTTCCCTTAGAGGCCTTCTCTTTCTTTAAGATGGAGCTCAAGCACCCCCTTCTGCACAAAGTCTTTCCTGCTCTCATAAAACTGCTCAAGCTGCCTTCCTAGGGGCCTTGTGTTTCACTCTTTTTTATGTCCGTTTGTTTGCTTTACATTTGTCCCAGATGTATTTTTATCTGTACTTGTCGTCTACCCCATCAGAATGGAAGCTTTTTAGTGCTTACATTACCAGTACCTGGCCCACACAGAAACACTTAATAGATTAGTGGTTTATTAGTAAATTAAGAAATGTTGGATCTCATCCATTTTCAGTGGATGTTTTTGTGGAAATTTTATAATGCACATAGAATAATAGATAGACGAGCATTTATTAAGCACTATGTGCCAGGCACTGTGCTAAGCCCAGTGAGTACGAATATAAACAAGCAAGCCAGTCCCTGCTTCCATTCTAATGGGGGAAGATATCATGTCATCAAGGGGAGCTGGAAAAGGGTAGGGGATGGTATGGAGATGAAGGGCAAGTTGGTAGAGGCCTGGGCAAGGGAAAGGACAAGCTTGCCTCTCAGAGCCGGGCAGTGAGAGGGCAGATTCCAACGTTATGGGGTGGGGAGAGGTGAGGATGATGGCTGGAGGGGGCGGCTTGGTCAGAAGATAGGCCAGAAATGGCTAGCAGTGTGTGTGTGTGTGTGTGTGTGTGTGTGTGTGTGTGTGTGTGTGTGCATATATATGAGTGTATGCATATGTGTGACTGTGTATGTGTGTACATGTGTTCGCCTGTGTGTGAGTGTATGTATGTGTATGTGAGTATGTGTATATGTGTATTATGTGTTTCTATGTGTATGTGTGTACATGTGTTCGTGTGTGTGCCTGTGTATATGTGTATGTGAGTGTATATATGTATAAGTGTATATGTGTGTGTATGTGTGTGTATGTATGTGTGTATGTGTGTGTGTAATTTATCAATAAGAAAATGGGTGCCCGATCATACCAAATCTGCAGACCAAACGTCTTCTGCTAGAATCCCCCCTGCCCATTTGCTCAGTATGTCTTATGTGAATTCTTCATTTTTAGGGTTATACTGCACTCTGCTGGTTAGCAGCCTTGTCTGACAAAATGCTAGCAGAAGCTTTCTTACCCGGTATCCTGTACCGAGAACACACTAAGCCCTACAAAACACACATATGTAAGCAGAACCCCAAAGAGAAAAAGGAAACTTGGACAAACCAGCTTTTGGAGAGCGAAGATGTTAAGCCTCCCTCCACTGAAGTGAAAAGGCTGGCCAAAGGTTGGCCTGCAAGCTGCCCGGAGCACAGTAAGGACATGTGCCTGCAGAAATCGGCAGATGGGGTGGTGCCGCAGGGCCAGCAGGGGGCAGCCCTCCAGGGTAATGCATCTGCAGCTTTGCAGATCCCCCAAAGAGCCCCACCAGAAGAAAACGAGCTGGATCTGTATCGCTCGTGGTCCTGCACCAGCATCTGCCAGAACTATCCTGACCTCCATATTGGGGGGAATCGAGTGGGGCACGCTTATGATTCTGGTTGTTTCATGGACCATGTCCATGATGAGGCTTTCACCGGGCCACTGCTTCTCTCAGAGGACATCCCACTGGGCCATTCTTCCATCCCCAGCAGGCCGCCCCCTGTGGCATACAAGTTCCTGCCTGGGGATGAGGTTCGAGAAAGAAGCATCCTCCTGCATAGGCAGCCCCTGTCCAACTCAATGCTTAACAGCTATGTGGAAAAAAAGGTGGATGAGCTCTATAAGCAGGTTTTTGAAGAGAACTTGACCCGATGCCACTCTGTGACCAGTCTTGTGGCTTCCAATCTACTGATGAACAACTTGAGTCACATCAGCCTTCAGATCTCACAAGAACAAAACATTGAGGTGTCCCGAGCTCGAGAGGCCCTCTTACAGTCTATGGCCTTGCGCAGCCTGTACTATGCTTCCAAAGGAAACAGCTCAGAGCTCAGCACTCCCAACCTGCAGATCTCCAGTCAGACAAAGTGGGAGAAGTTGCCGAAGGTGTAGGTGATAACCTTTGGGCTGCTGCTGGGGCAGAAGACTGACTGCCCCAGTAGCCTTTTCAGTTCAGGGATGGGGGAGGAGGTATTGTTGTATGTGGGGAGACATTTCTCGAGAGTTCAAAGTTGACAAGTGCAGTGGAAAGGTGTTGAATTCAGCTATTTTGGACCCACTTTGAAATCGAAGCCCTACCATTGCCTACTACCATTAGGACAGGAACACCAAATTGCAGAATTGTTTAGCTGGAAAAGATCTTTGAAGCATGTAGACCAACCTGGAAGCAAAAAAACAATCCTTACTGTACCACACCCTACAAAGGACCATCTAGCTTCTTGGTGTAGCCCTCCAGGAAGGGAGGAGCCCCTGCCTCCTGAGGTCACCGAGTGTACTTCTAGAAGCCTTTCATTCCATCAGACCTGGACTTGCCCCTTTCTAACTTGTGCCTGATATGTCTAGTTTTGACCTCTGGGGCCAAATGGAACAAATCAGATCTCTTTTCCTAATAACAGCCCTTTGAATACTTGAAAATAGTAATCGTTTGTCTCCCCCCCACCAGTCTCTTCTCCAAACTAAACCTTCCTATTTCCTTTAACTGCTTGTCATATGGCAGAGACTCAAGGCCTCTTGTGCAGCACTAGGAGGTGGTACAGAGAGGAGTCCTTTTCAGGTATGGATTGAATTGGATGGTCCCTGAAAACCCTTCCAACTCAGAGATCCTGGGAGTCTGGAATTCTGTGAAGTTGTCTTCCCTCTTTGGGCCTCAGTTTCCTCATCTGTAAAATCAACGTTTGGATGTGATAGCCTTGAAGGTCCCTTCAAGCTCTTAGTCTCTGGTCCTGGGTGTGGAGAGCAAGTACCGTTAGTGCCATTTTTCACATGAGGAAACTGAGACCTAAGAGAGTTTAAGCGACTTTCCTGGGGTACCTTTTCCTGAAGTGGCAGAGCCAGGACTCAGTGCCAGGTCTTCGGACCACAAGACAGCTGGATGGGTCTGTCCACTTCAGTAGGTTCGGAAACCTCCTTCAAATGGTGAACTCCTGTGTTTTGTGACAGAGGCACCATTGACATGCTCAATCGCTTTTTGCTTCAAAGGGATGCCTGCTTCATTTACTCCCCGACTTCTCCCTTGCCTCTGCCTTTCCTTTGGCAGTTTTGTTTGCCACTACAGTCAAGGGAGCCCAGGCAGCTCAGACAGCCAGAGGCTGAGCCAGGGTCAGCACACCCCCTTAGCAGTCCTGCAGTGAAGGACGCCATTTACCCTTGAGTGTGGGCCACTGAGGGGAGTGGTCTTTCACAGACTAGCGGCTTCACCAACAGGCCGCTGTCCACTGAGGCAGGGCTCCACCCATCTCTGATTTAGGACAGGGTCTGAGAGAGCCACCGTGGTTGAAACATTGGCTTGTGATTGCCCCAAGGACTATAGGAACTTGGTGAATTCGAGGCCCACAGATAACCCTCAGTGGTTCCGAGACTTGGCCACACTTGCACTTTGCGAGCATAACCCTGGAGAGCCCAGGGTCACCTTCTTGCGCTTAGTGGGGGTACTGGCAGATGACTTGGCTGGCTCAGTTCCTCAGATCCTTGAACCTGAAGTTGGAATGAGCCTTACAGAGCATCTTTCACTCTCTTCCTCTTATGGATGAAGACACTGAGGTCCAGAGAAAGGAGTTGATTTGCCCAAGGGCACATAGCTAATACTTAGCAGATCTGAGATTTGCACCCGGGTCCTTTGACTCCAAAGCCAGTGCTTCTGTTGGGCTCTGACGACGTGGAGAGGGAAAGTGAGCTGCATGGAGCAGTGTACTTGGTGTGTTGAAACTTGATGCTTTTGTACTGTTTTGCGATAGCCATTGGCAGCATTTTTTCATTGTTGTGATTGTTAGAGCCATAAGGGACATCAGAGCTCAGCTCATTTTATAAAAGAGGACAATGAGTCTAGAGAGGGCAGGTGACTGACTTGTCCAAAGTCACACCAGGCTAGAGAGGCAGGGCCAGGTCTCAAAGCCAGACACCTTGACTCCAAGGGCAGCACTCTTTCTCCTGGGACACTGGAGGAAGATGAAGACGGAGAAAGGGGGCTGACTACACATTGCCATGGGGCAGACAAGGCTCCTTGGTGACCTTTCACCAGAGTGGGATCCACAGTCTTGCCTGTAAGGCTAGACAATGGTGTTGGGTCATCCTCTAGTCTGCTTGTAGGAGATTTCCAGCTGCTGGCCCAGGATAGAGCTCAGAATGGCTTTATAAGGTTATGAAATCCAAAGTTAGCAAAATATTCCTGGAAGAGGCAGATACCTATGTTGGCTTGCAAACAAAGCCGCAATCCTCCCCCCGTCTTGCTGGCCTACAGGCTTATTTTTGCCAGGCCTTCTGTTCTTGTCCTTGAAAGTCATGAAGTTGGGAAGGTTGGTTGGCACACATTCTTACCCACCCCTGCTATGGGCAGGCTGGTGAAGAGGACAAGAGTTCCCTTAATGGACCATGGAACCATGGCCACTTCCTTGGGGTCTCTGCCTCCGCCTCCCCTTCTGTAAAATAGGATAGTAGTAGTTACCCTAAAGTAGGGCTGTGAAGACTAAAATGATGAGATGTTTTTAAAGCACTTTGAATTTCTGTGGTAGGAGTTCTGATTGTGGTGTGTCTTCTTAAGTGAGAATGGTGTACCCTACTTGCCCTTCTCATCCAGCTATTGGGAGACTTGAACTCTTTGGAGACTCCTAGAAGAGTCCCAAGGGTCAAGATTTTGGAAAAAACTGACAGTGAATTGAAAATACTGACAAGCAAACATTTGTTTTTCTATTTCTTTTTAGAGTTTGTTTTTAATGGAAAGGCCACCACAATGGTAAAACTAATTAATGCTTCAAATAGATCAACTTTGTTGATGTAAATAAAGACTAATCAGCCAATATCACTGGTGGAGAGAATTTTTTTTGCGACACAATATTTAGAGTAACATTTAACTTGTCAAAACAAGTGATTGTCCTAACAATCTGGTGCGTGCACGGATTTGAACAAGATACTGCCACTTTTAACCTACTCCTTAATTAAAAAATGTAATTTAGGTTACTCTCTGGTGCCAAACCCATCTAATTGTTCCTTTGTTCTTTCTTAATAATAGTAGAAATGAGACTTTAACTCAAATAAACATTTCTCAAGCACCTCTTCTGTTCCAGGCACTATGCTTAGTGCTGGGGATAGAAAGATAAAACAAAACAAAAAGTGAAAAACTGATGCCTGTCCTCAGGGTGCTTCCATTGGGAGGAGTGAGAGGGGGGACAGCATGTAGGCAGAGAAACTATATAAAATGTATCCAAAGTAACTTCTGAGTGTATGGTGGGAAGCATCAACAGCTGGGAATGGGGAGGGGGCAGCAGGACAAGTCTGGTGGTGGTCACCCTTGAGTTGAGCCCTGAAAGGCTGAGATTTCCCTAGCCCTTTATGTTTGTGATTTCATTTAGTCTTGGCATCAACTTTGTGAGGTAGGTGCTATTCTTCTCCCCATTTTACAGATGAGGAAACTGAGGTTTGGAGAAGAGAAATCATTTGCCTCAGGTCACACAGGCCTCCAAGCCAAGCACTCTGTGCCAGATACTGAGTCATGCTGCAAGTGGAATAGGCAATATACTACTGAAAGGAGGGAAGATGATGAGCCTGGTGCCATTTCTAGTCGTGATGGGTTGCTTCTTCAGACTTCAGGACTTGAATGACATGAATATGGCTCTGGCTTTTGGACCAGGGACACCGTGCTTTGTCACAGATGATTCCTTTCCCTTGCCTGGCCTACGTGGTTCCCTTTCCATCACAACCCTTAATCGGTAAGGAGCCCCATATGCTTTTGCAGAGGCTGGGAGCAGGGCAAGCTAGCAGGTTGGTGCCTCCAAACAGGACAGATGGTTTGTGACTGGCAAGGAAGGTAGGGAAAAAGGAGCAGACCAGGCTACGATCTGGCCCAGCGTGGCCCGCCTTGGAGCGGCGGTCACCCTCCTCCCCCACCTCCAGCTCCAGAGCCATCCAGTTCAGAGGGGTCAGACACGAAGCCAGTGGGACAACACTCCCAACTGCAGCCTTAACCACGTTAAAATGAATCACATAACAAAGCACAGAGAATATCACATTTTAAAACTAAGTCGACTTGGGAGCTGCAAGGATCCTTATGTATGGATTAATGACTTCTGTTTCTACAGGCTTTAATACCACTGGACTAGTCCAAACTACTCATTTTCCAGATAAGGGAGCTGAAAGACCCAGGAACATGGAATGACTTGCCCAAGGTCACACATAGGATTACAGAGTTAGAGCTGGAAAGGAATTACAGGAAGCCCTTGAGCCCAACCCCCTCATTTTACAGGCAAGGAAACTGAGGCCTAAGTAAGTTAGGTGACGACCAAGCTTGTGTAAGTAATAAGCATCAGGGCAGGATTTGAACCTAGGGCCTCTGAGTCCAGAACCTGTACAATTTCTTCTGTACCACTAAGCCTCCCTTATCCTTCTTTGGTGTCCTCTTCAGAGCCTCACATTGCACTGAACACACAGTAGGACCATAAGAGCCTAGATCTAAAGCTGGAAGGGACCTCAGAAAGGCCATCTCGTCTTACCCCTCATTTGATAGATGAAGAAACTGGGGCATTTGCCCAAGGACATGCAGTAAACTAGGTTACAAACAGTAGAGGTGAGATTCCAACCTGAGTCTGACTGGGAATCCAAGTGCTTTCTCCTCTCCCAGCTCCCCATAGGGCACCTTCACCCTTAGATCTGGACCAGCTCTTGGCAATTCAGCCCAAGTTCCTCCCCAATCTGCAGACAGGCCCAAGGATCAGTGGTGTTGGAAAGAGGCTGGCTTGGCTTATGGTGGTCGCAGACCTTTGGATCGGGCTTACAGACAAGCTGACCCCCCAGGAGTCTTTGATACCAAGGACAACACAGTCCTGAGGCTCTTTGGAGAAGAGCAGAGCTCTCTGGCCTTCCCCTTCTTGACCTGGGTCAGAGCCAGTTTGGTTTGTGGCCACGAAGAGTCCAGGGCAGTGGTCTTCTGGGACATTTACCTTGCTATGGGACTTCAAGGCAAGATCAGGCCCATACATGCATTGTTTTCTAGAGAGAGTCCTGATTTTTTTCCTCTTTAGAAGATAAATATTGGTAAATTTGGGGTTATTAGGAAGGGGGAGTAATATAAGGGGGAAATGGAGTAACCAAAAGGTAAATAACTCCAAGCTGGGTGTTGGTTTCAAAGCAACCCACATAACACAACTCAAATCCGTATAGTTCTTAAATGAAAATTACAAGTTAAGATCATATAGCAGTGCATGGTCACTTACGTGTAAAATTAGCCAGTTCCTTGGGTGTGCTCTTAGAGGGTCAAGTCAAACTGGCCAGCTGGCTATCCACCCCCCACCCCCATCTACCTCACTTTTTAACACTTTCTCATAGAGGCAGCAGGTGGTGCAATGGAGAGATGGCTAACTGGGCCTGGAGTCGGGAAGACCTCTGTTTAGATTTGACTGCCAGCACTTACTGGGTGTATGATCCTGGGCAAGTTACTTAACCTCTCAGCCTCAGTTTCCTCATCTGTAAAATGGGGATAGCCATAGCGCCTACCTCCCAGGGCTGTTGTGAAGATCACATGAAATCATATTTGTAAAGCACTTAGCACAGTGCCTGGCACACAGTAAGTGCTTAACAAATGCTTGTTTCCCTTCCTTCCTTCTGGAAATGACTTTGCAATTCTTTATATTTACTTTGTATTTGCTTCCTTGGGTACATATTGTATCCTATCTCCCAGAAGACTGTAAGTTCTCTAAGGGCAAAAGCTGATCTGCTTTGCCTTTGTATTCTTAGCACCCAACACATTGCCTGGCACATAGCTATTATTGTTGTTATTATTATTATTGATAATAATAATCAGGCACTTAATCAATGTGGGTTGAATTGTGCCCAAGTACTCCCATGAATCAGTGGCTCTGTCATGCCATTGCTGTGGCATTCCCTTTGGCAATACAGAGACTGTTCACCCACCCTGTGGCATTCTTGTCACTGTCTACGAATAGCTCCTTTATAGAAGACCCATCCCTTTGATGTGCACGTTGAAAGCTGTCCTCCAGGCCTTTTCATAATATTCCTGGGAACAAAGCTGACAGATGAGGAAGGTGGGAGGCCCACAGGGGCATCTCCTCTCCTGAAATCTAACAGATCAGAATCTGAGGGATCATCAGAGGTGGCTGGACCTCTCCTTAGCCTGGCAGGTTCTGGGACCTTCGAGAACTTTCCCAAATGTCATTATTATTAAATGCCTCCAAAGAGTTTATTATGGTGCGGTTGTGGAGACAGTACTTTCTCTGGCACAATGAAATTGCTTTAGTTATGATATTGAAAAATGTGTACAATGAATAATTTCTCATTTGAGTCTCACAAGTGCTATTATATCCATATTGAAGATGAAGAAACTGAGTCTAAGAGAGATCCAGGGATACTTATCCATTAAGTGTCAAAGGTGGGATTTGAACCCAGGTCTTCCTAATCCCAGAGCCATTTTTCCTTGTACCATATAACGGATAGAGAACAAGTCGTGGAGCCAGGTAGACTAGGGTTCAAGTTCTGGCTCTGACATACTGGGCAAGTCACTTAAACCTTCAGTGATCCAGGCAACTCTCTAAGACTGCAAGTTATATAAAAGATGTTACCCTGTACTGAGGGAGAGAGTTTGCTTATCCAGGAGTTCCCATTGCCAGTGAAACCATAGGTCTGGTCCCTATCCTTTTTTTTTTTTTTTTTTTTAGGCAATTGAGGTTAAGTGACTTGCGCAGGGTCACACAGCTAGTAAGTGTCAAGTGTTTGGTCTGAGGCTGGATTTGAACTCAGGTCCTCCTGACTTCAGGGCCAGTGCTCTGTCCACTGTGCCACCTCGCTGCCCTTCCTCCTGGTCCCTATCCTCTTGAAGAATGTGTATAGAAACCTAGTCCTGATGGATGTGATGCAACCAAACCAGGAAAATATAAAACTCAGCTTTGTTTCCACTGAATCATTGCTGTAGCCAGTGACTTGAAATGCTGTCCTGTTTCTTTTTTAAGGCAGATAAGTGTATAGCTCTATAGAATGTTGATGCAGTTCTGCTTTTTACCTCCTTAAATGATTGGGGGAAATATAGCATATGTGACTAATAAATACAAATGAATACTCAGGCTAGTCTGGGAATCAGAGCAATAACTAAGGCGGGGCGATGGAGTGTTGCCCCAAGGTGCTGAAATTTAGAGGGTATTGCCAGCTCTTGAACTCCACCAGGTAGAAACCAATAAGCTTGAAACCCTAGTTAGCATGCAAAATTAGTTTAAATAAGAAACTATTAACTGGACTATTGTTCTCCCTTGCCCCCACCAACTCCTTTCTAGCCTGCCCTGCTCTGTTCCCTTTCTGACCTCCAACATTGGTCATGTGTCACTGGGGACTCTTACTTCCTAACCCTGCCACAATGGAGTCTCTGCTTAGAGAACATTGTGTCTTGAGGTTCAGGGTCTCTTCCCTCCCCCCTCCCCTTAAATATTCGATTTTGCTGCTTACCCTGGGACATACTTCTTGATTGCTGCAGACTCCAGAATAATTGGTTCTGGCCTTGCTGGGAATGCCAAAAGGTCAGAGGATGGCTGTTTTTTTCAGGGGGCTTCTGGAATTGACTAGTCCTCCTGTGAGCTGCCTCTGAGTATGTGAAGGGTTTTCATGTGATAGAAGATGTCTTGGAAAACATCCATGATTGGAGATGGTATTCACACACCCATAAAAGCAACAAAGACAGGGGTTGTAGAGTATGAGAAGGCATGACTGGGTGGCAATCTATACCAGGTGGAAGGAACATCTATATGGATGTGTTATTGGGTCTGTAAAAATATATAAGTCTTATGGCAAAGGGAGTACGTTTAT